TATATATATATATATATATATATAAAAAAGTATACATATATTTACATAGTCTCTATATGTTTTCTATTGATATATATAGCAACGTATTTATTAGCACATCCACGACCATTTCCCGCAATCTAGTTATTCCCTTTGTTGTCTACGTTCCTAAATATATCATTGCTTATTATGATACTTTGTAACGTTAGTTCTTCGTTTTGTGGCCTGCCAAAACCCTCACGAGACCCTCGTTCGAAAAGCACTTCGTTCTTCTTTTATGTGTCTTTTGCTTTCTATGAAAACATCCATTTGCTATCACACAACGGCGATCCCTAAACAATTATCTGAGAGTAAAAAGCTTTCGATCATATCTCTCTCTCCCTCTCTCTCTCCTTTCTATTTTTTTCTATCTCACTCGCACTCTTTATCTGCTTCCTTTAGCTTTCCTTTCTTCCAGTCTCTTTCACTTCTAAGCTTTTCGTCGTTCGTTATAGTCATTTCTCCATCATTCTTTCTCTTTTTAATTGTCTTTCTTTCTTGCTTTCCTCGTCTCACTCTTTCTTTCTTTATACTCGTCTTTCTTTCTCTCTGTAAACGTCTCTTTCTTTTTATTTTTGCTGTTCTCTTTTTTCTAGCTTCACTCGTCTACACTTTCTTTCTTTATTCATCTCTTTCTTTCTCTCATTACACGTCTCATTCTTTCTTTCTTTACCCGTCTCTCCCTTTCTTTTTTAATACCTCTCTCTCTTTCTCCTTGTACCCGTCTCACCCTTTCTTTCTTTACACATCTCTTTTTTTTTCTCTCTTTACTTGTCTCTATGTTTCTTCCTTTACGTGTCTCTTTCTTTCTTTCTTTCCTTCTTTCTTTCTTTCTTTCTTTCTTTACTCGTTTCGCTCTTTCTCTCGTAACCGGTCTCCTTTTCTCTTTTTACGCATTTCTTTCTCGCTGTAAACGTCTGCCTCTTTCTTTCTTTACACGTCTCTTTATTCTCACTTTACTTTTTTTCCTCTGTCTCTTTCTTTCTTTACTCGTCTCTCTCTTTACTTGTCACACTCTTTCTTTCTTTACTTGACTATTTCTTTCTATCTTCATTCGTCATCATTCTTTATTTACTCGTCTCTTTCTTTCATTCTGCACACGTCTCTTTCTTTTATTTACTCTTTCTCTTTTTTTTCTCGCTTCACTCGTCTACATTTTCTTTTTTTATTCATCTCTTTCTTTCTCTCTTTACCCGTCTCTCCCTTTCTCTTTTAGTTCGTCTCTCTCTTTCTCGCTGTACTCGTCTGCCTCTTTCTTTCTTTACACATCTTTTTTTCTCTTTACTTGTCTCTATGCTTCTTCCTTCACGTGTCTCTTTCTTTCTTTCTTTACTCATTTCTTTTTTCCTCTCTTTCTTTATTAGCTCGTGCCCTCAAAATACATACTGTCTAATAAAAAAAAACAATACTATATTAAAAATAAAAAGAACATACTATATGCTTACTATTATAATAAAGGATTTATTTTTCATTAGTAGTAATGACGTTTCAGACGTGAATCTTTGTCATTTCCAATAAGCAGTGATGAGCGCGCATCAAAAACTGATTTTCTGCCAATTCTTCAGGGAGACATTTGTCCAATGTTTTCACTCCATCTTTAGAAGCAATCATAGGACGAACGAGAATTTTCACAGAAAGCAGTCAAATTTTCTTTGATTTGGTCCCAGTTGATGATGTCCTGGCTGGTAGTAAACTCATACGAAAAAATCACAAAGAAAATATCACCATTGTGGTCAGGAAAAATAACCACATTTTGGGTTTTCGAGTAGCATGTTTAATAGCAGATTTTTGAACCACGCTTAATACAGTCTATAATTTCCATTCCAGGAGGCGTCAATATTATTTTTCGCTAAACCCAAGTACTGTTGATCTACAAAAGTGCTGAGATCAATATTTCCACTAGTCAAGCTCTCTTCAGGGGTTAATGTTAGGGGTTAGGTATACTGACATAATATAGAGAAAAGCGAGATTATCTACTCTACTAGCATTATTGGAACACCCGGTCGAAAACGGGTATATAACCCGTCTTCCACCGAGTATTTCATTAATATGAATTTTTGCCGTTCAGTTGGATCAATTTATGATTAAAGTCAGCCCACTCGAAAATCAATATTAGTAAAAACAATTGGGTGCAACTGCGACACATCCCCAAATGAGGGGGTTAACAATTTGAATGGGGGTAGACCTGAAAAGGACCTTTTTTGTGTTCTCAATCTTGCAAGCAAGGAACTTCTTCCATGGACTGTCATAATAATAATATAATATAATATATTATATAATATTTTTATTTATAATATAATTTTTTATGTAATTCTAATAATCTTTTGCGTTAGTTTTAAACTCTCTAAATTGATTGTACGCTGTTTTTTACAGATATTGAATTTTGCCTTTGATTTTTGCGCAAAGTGTAAAAAATCAGTTTTTTTCGATTTTTCACTTTCAAGGTTGTAATTTTTTCCAGCCAATTTGGACTCAAAACCGGCACTGACGAATTATGTAAGAAACAAGAAAAAAATCACTGTAGAAACGCATAAACAACCGATCACACACACACACACGAGCGCGCGTGCACACACACACACACACACACACACACACATTTTGAGAATTACAGACATAGATGAAGACAGGTCATTTCAATGTGACCTCACACTAAACAAGCTGCTCAAGAATTTTACCGGATGAGACAAACTTCTGGCCACAGTGACATCAGCTGATTTAACTTAATCCTCCCAGCTTGAGGTTGTTCCGATTATACAAAGATCTCTTTTTCTTCTATTTTCACATTTTAAGCAAAACTCATCAGTTCTGCATAGTCCATCACTGAGACTGATTAACATATTAACCTTAAAAAATATTTAACCTTTCTATTAAAGAAAGACACTGAAACAGTGTTAACATTGTCCTGTTTCTTTTTCCTGTGACGTTTTTGCTGTGACTTTCTTTCCGTGATCTTTTCCTGTGACGTTTTTACCTGCATTTAATGATGTCTGTGTGTTTCGTTGATGTTCATTTTACAAACTATCGTGCCTTAAACCGAAATTTAGTAACATCAACGGCGTTTTTGCTTGTTAGCGTTGGACTTGCACTACTCTGTAAGAGCAACACGTTTTTACTCTTAAGCGATGTTCAGCATAGATAAACTGTCGTTTAAATTACTTTGATAGTTATGCTAGCCCGAAGTCGCAAGTCATCGTGACCGAGCGTTTTAGCGTACACGCTTTGTTAATAGAAATGATCCCTGCAGGGTGCCATGGACGAATTTTCGTCTAAATTACCCAAATTGAAAATAATACTGACATCTCATTTTAACCGATATAGTTAACAAAATTGCAAAAATATCTTTAAATAGAAAAGAGTAAATTTAATAAAATCACCATTGGCTACAACCGCGGCCTCCAGACGACTTCCGAATCTTCTGCAATTCTTCTGAACGGTCTCCTTGTTTATGTTGGTGAATGCTGCCATAATCCTAACCTTCAGCTCAAGGAATTTTGTTGGTAGCAGTCTGGGGAGTTAGGTGCCCAGATGTAAGGGGTGATGTAGTAGCAGAAATTGTCTGACAGCGATGATTGCATATTCCTGTTTGTGTGACATGGCGCAGAGTCCTGTTGCCAGACATAGTGTTTTCCAATAGCCGCCCTCTTGAATCAGGGCAGCGCTACCTCGTCAAGACATTTGATATAGGCCCCCGTGTTGAGTTTGAGAACCTCACCAACAAATGTGGGAGTTCTTTTCTTATCAGAACGATCTGAGTGAGTTTTCCAAGCTTCCGTACCATCGTAATCATCGTTAGACTCATCCAACTCTTTCTGAAACCTCTGCATTCTCCTGTAGATTGATACCCGACACACTGAAATATACGTATTGTAGCTTCCGGCGCAAATGCCAAGTAGTACAGCATGCCGTTTCCAAATTTCTGGCGGAGTGAATTGTGTCATGGTGCTGTTTTTCTCATAGACGGTGCCCAACTGACCCTACTACATTGTGCAGTTGACAAAATAAAAAAGGAAACAACACGCATGCGCTAATTCAAAAATATAAAATGGCGACAATCTACCACAGCCTGTATGTTTTTGCGCCCACACATAATAATCAAAGTGTTTGCAGTCCGGGGTGTTAGGTGGTCAAATGGAAGGGGTGATGTGGACGCAGAAATTGTCTGACAGCGATGATTGGGTTCTCCTGCTTGTGTGGTATGGTCTAGAGTGCTGTTGCCAGATAGAGGGTCTTCCAGCAGCCGCTCTGCCTCCCCGAGACATTTGATGTATGCTTCTGTGTTTAGTTTCACCAACAAATTCGGGAGTTCATTTTTTATCAGAACGATCAGTGTGTATTTTCTGAGCTGCCGTACCTACTGACCCTACTATACTGTGCAGTCGACAAAATCAAAAACAAACAACGCGCATGCGCGAATTTAAAATATAAACTGGTGACAATTTACCCATTGCACCCTGTAGCGGACGGACTTTGTATGACTGGCGATGGCTCTATCCAAGAAAGTTTCGATAGCAAGTCTCCTATTCAATGATGAATGACGGCCATATAACGTTGAAGCACCGATCCCTGTAGAATCGCTGAAGTTAAGCAACGTTGAGTCTAGTCATTAGCTAAAAGGGTGACCGTTTGGGAATACCAGGTGCTCTAAGGTTAAATGTACGGATACCGTAATGGATAGCTGAAGAGCCGAGTTCCAAATCCGGTTGGGTTCGTTATATTCACCTACGCGTAAATATAACTAGGAAAGGCATGAATCCACCTCTCCATTGACTCATTGTGGGTTAATTACTAAAACTGACAGGTATCCATAAAGTCCCTTACAATTTAAAAAATATATTATAAAGGCAATTTGTGAGATAATCAGATTTGTACTCAGTAATTATCAAAGTTTTTAATTACATTGCATTTGTTTATTTCAGGTATCCTGTTGATGAACGATGTACAGTTAAAATGAATCCCTAACATTTGCAGATCGCTAGATTGGAAGGAGTGGCTCAATTCCCTGGCTACTTCGTTCACCAAATATCACTCCCCTGGAATTCTTTCAATGTGGTTATGTTAAAGATATCGTGTATCGAACAAAGATACGGGACATCACTGATCTAAAGCAAAAGATCACTGATGCCATTGATGTCGCTATGCTACAGCGAACATGGCAAAGAATCAATTACTGTCTCGATGGCTTTTGTACTCATATAGAGGTGCATTAAATTAGTTTAACAAATTCCATATCTGTTCCTCATTTTGTAGATTGTCCTCATTTGCTTTCGTATTATTATTTTTTAAATTGTAAAGCGACTTTATGGACATCCTGTATATCAGTAAATCATTATTATCTACAGAAAAACGGAAAAATTCTTACAATCTAAAAATAATTTTTGGCTTTAAATAACTTGCAAACGGTTGATAAACTCGAAAACAACAAAATGAATCTAATTAAATCAATGGCGAGCAACTGGCAAATCTTTCATTAAGACTGAAAAGCTGTCAGATGATCAAGAGCTCGTTGACCAAATTTCGATACTTTTCGGTGTTTTATGATCGAAGTATGAGTGTATCGAACTATTTACACTATTATATTGTTCATGTTATTGCCCTCATCTTTATTGTCATATCTACGACATTTCGGCCGTTAAACGCTCTGGCCTACTTCAGGTGATTTTGAACCTAACTATTTATTTATTCCACTGGAGTACATTGTTCTAGTTCCACTTGCCACGCATTTTCTGGATATCTCAATTAATTCCTTTTAGCAACTCAACTCTCGAAGTTTTTGTTCACAACTCTCTGGGTCAAGTCACTTTTGGATTACTTCAACCAACGCTTTTATCCACTACGTCGTGGATAAGACAATAAAGAGGAGGACAACAATCGGAACTGTTGTAGCATACCTACGGAGGATAATGGGTATGTCCCCATTCATATAAATATAGTAGTAAATACTGTATGTTGGTCTGCAGTTGGAGATTCCTCTCCAGCTGTGCTGGTCAAAAATTCTGCTTCCGGGCAGAGAGGATCCACATGTCGAAGGGCAGACTCTCGTCTCGGGAAACAGCTACCCGCCCCCGTTTTATACGGGGTATACGGGGAATTTTTAGCCGAACCTACGGGCTCCGATACCCCACATTAAATTCGGCCCTGTGTCACATTTGACCGCGTGGGGCGGTTGGTAAATATTCCGCAGTCGGATATTCGTCTCTAGCTGTGCTGGTCAAACTCTCTGCCTCCGAGCAGAGAGAATCCCCTGACAAAGGTATATCGAAGGGCAGAGTCTCGTCTCGGGAAACAGCTACCCGACCCCGTTTTATACGGGGTCTACGGGGAACTTTTTGGCCGAGACTACGTGCTCGGATACCCAAATTAAATTCGGCCTTGTGCCACATCTGACCACGTGAGGTGGTTGGTAGATATCCTGCAGTTGGAGATTCATTGTGGCGTTCACTCGACTCACTTCTAGCAGTTAACTACTGCTTCTAGGCACTTCTGACGAATTTTATGTGTTGTTCTTGTCCTAAGTATTATCGTTCATTACCAACCTTCACATGATTATTCTATTCCAAGGATGGCAAACCTGTGGCGCATGCGCCATAAGTGGCGCATTGGATGCTTACAAGTGGCGCATTGCATCCTTTTGATGAAAAGAAACTAAGCCACTTCTACTCATTCATTTCAGTGATTTTATATTTATTGCACATTCAAAACTCCTGGATACGCCCCTGGTCATAAGCATATATTTTTCAAATAAATAGATTTTATTATATCTTTAAAATATGTCCATATTACAACACATACTGAAAGAAAGTGAATGTTTGTGTGGCGCATTTAAATTAATCGTACAAAACATTGGCGCATGGAATCAAAAGGTTGGCCAACCCTGTTCTATTCAGTAACCTTTCCTAGGTTACAACCCAAACAATGTAAATATTAGGTTGGTGCAAAAACAATGACGTAATAATGTCATTTTTTGACGTACTTTTCTATGTTAAAAAACGACATTCTTACGTCATTATTTTTGCACCAACCTAATAGTTACGATAAATCATCTCAGAAATATAGATAGATGTTGTATCGAACTGTTTTGCTGATTCCTATGAAGTTTCCTTAGGGTTTCCCCAATGCCGATTTGCAGAAACTTGATATTGTCAGGACGTGGTCTTAATGATAGAGGGGGAATCTTTCAGAGAAAAAATTCCTAATTGAAACTGGTCAACGATCTTTGGTAAGTCTTGACATTACAAGGCTCATTTCCATAGAGGTTTCTTGTCGCTTCATTTCGATAGAGATTCCTTACTGAAGAGCCCCTTATTGAATTCATACACTGTCTGATATGGGCGGTTCTGAACGTTAAAACTGATACAAAATGTACCCACTCTGATATGTAACGAAAAAAAAAGCATTGAAACATTAATGGTCATCTTACCACAAAAATTGAAAAAAATACCTTCCATGTTATCATGTCAAAATGCAAGACTACCTAACGTAATACAGAGTGACATCTGTCTATATTTCTGAGATGGGGTATTGTAACTATTTACATTGTTCAGACTTTTGGCCTCCTCTTTGTTGTCATGTTCACGACGTTTCGGCCAATGTACGCTCCGGTTTTCTGCAGGTAATTTGACACATATCCCAGGAGATGAAAGCGTTGCTTGAAGTAATCCAGTGGCTTGACCCAAAGAGATTTTAGGATAATACTTGGCCAAAGCAGTGGTGAACTAAAACTTGGAGAGTTGGGTTACTAAAGGGAAATAACTGAAACTGAGATATCTGGAAGAGGCATGGCGCGTGGAACTAGAACAATCTACTTTGGTGGATGAAATAAAGAGTTCGGTTCAAAATTCCAAAAGGACGAAGCGTACAGCGGCCGAAACGTCATGAATATGCCAACAAAGATGAGGACAAAAGTCCGAAAATTGTAAATAGTATAAACTTAGTGGCATGTTGATCTGTGCACTTCGGGACATGCGTGTCTGTCTGACCATTAATATTGAATAGGGAAACCGATGCTCCCTATGTGCATTTTGCTATTGATAAGTTAATCTTTGTTAATATCCAGTTGGTCCTCGCGTTACTAGAGTAAATATTAAGTTGGAAATTTGTATAACTGCATTAAGCCCAGGTTGGTAAGACGAGATTGCTATTAATTTTCTTTTTATTTAAAAAAGAAGAAGCCATTCCTCATTCTTTTCATTTTCCAAACTCTTTTAAACGTCTATACTTTAAACACTTTCGATATTCTTTTCTTTCTCTCATTACAAACGAGTCGATTATTTGTGCTATCTTTCATTCTCTTCCTACAATTTGTCGATTCCATTTCTTTCTTTCTCTTCATATGTACCATATCCCCTTCATATCTATCTATCTATCTATCTATCTATCTACTCTTCCTTTCATTCACTTTTCTTTTTTTCTTTCATATTTTCTTTCATTTCTTGGATCATCTATATTTTTCTCTTCTTTCATTATTTCTGTTTTGTTTTCCATCATTTTTCTTTTTCTTTCTTTATTTTCTTGGATTACCTTTCTTTCCCTTTCCTCTTATTTCGTTTTCAATCTTTCCTTTTTCTTTCTTTTCATGAATTTTCTCTTTCGTTTCGTTTCTTTTCCTTTCATTTTGATTTCCATTTGTCTTTTTTAATCCTTTCTTTCATTCTTTCTTTCATTTCATATTTATCTTATTCTTTTCAAGACTACCTATCTGTATGTCCATCAAGCTACTCTTAGTTTCGTTTATTTATTTATTTGCTTTCCTTTCATAAAGTCTTTCACTTATTCTTTCATATCGGGTATTTTCTTTCCTTTTCTTTTTTTCATCTTGTTTTCCGCCATTCTTTCTTTATTTATTTTTGTTAGATTTCCTTTCCTTTCTTTCCTTTCATTCCCTTTCCTTTCTCTTCATTTTGTTTTCAATCTTTCTTTCTTTTATCTTTCTTTCTTTATTTCTTTCTTTTTTTCTTTCTTTTCTTGGATTTTAATTCCTTCCTCTTTCTTTCCTTTCTTTTCATTTTATTTTGAATCTTTTTTCTTTACTTTCTTTCTTTATTTTCTTACATGTTCTTTCCTTTCTTACATGTTCTTTCCATTTTGTTTTCCATCTTTCTTTCTTCTTTCTTTCTTCTTTCCTTGGATTTTCTTTCCTTTCTTTTTCCTTTCGTTTCCTTTCAGCTCTTTTCTTTTCATTTTCTTTCAAACTATTTTCTTTCTTTTTTCTTTCTTTCTTTTCTTGAATTTTCTTTCCTTTCATTTCTTTTTATTTTGTTTTTCATATTTCTTTTTTCTTTTTCTTTCTTTCTTTCTCTTTTATTTATCTCTACCTTTTTCTTTCAATCTCCACTTATTTCAATGTTACTTTATTGCGTCATCCCGTTCCTTATCTTCTCTTTATCATTCTCTCTTTCCCTTTGCCGTTTCATTTCTTTTCACCTCTCACTTCCATTCATTTCACATTTCCTTCCTTCCTTCTTCATACGCATTCCGGGGTCCCCCATCTCTCAGATACAAACAAGTGGGCAAACTGTGAACCACATTGAATCGGAGCAAGCGATTGAGATGATACATTCTAAATACACGTTTGCTGAGACTATTAGATTTTTAAAAAAATATCATTTAAAGTATGGCGAATGTAAAAAAAAGTTTGAAGTAAAAATTTGCTTTCGTCTTGTGCTTCTGCACTTTCTTTTCCTGGTAGCATCCACACTTTCATTTTTACTTCAAAGCACCAATTAACTTAAGATACCGCCTGTCGCAAATGCGCTGCTGATTCTGATTTTATACACGGATCAACGCGTTCACGGGACTTCATCTTTTTTTTCATCTTATAGCGTCTTATCACTTTTATAGCATTGATTAGATAGATATATTTTTCATCAAGGCACTTAGAACAGAAAATTGTCCATCAAAGCTGGAACTTGCAAAGAATCCATCGTTTGGTATTTTCAGAATCATTAGTATTTACAGGGATTCTTTTTAACTTGGCGACAGCGAGACGGTTCTAAGAGAATTACAAGTTCATTATTGTCGGCCACAGTTTTATCAAAATAAGATATGCAGGTGACAGCGTTGAGAGCAGACACGGAAAGGAACCTATAAGAATTCCTACAGAAGGGAGTGTAGCAAAGCATAAATATCAACTGTAAAAAAAGAGAATACATGGCTGTATTATCTCCGGACATGCGCGCATTTCGGGAAACGCGTGCATGTCTCTAACAGTCTACCATACGCTTTTCGGCAGTTTAAAATATGAAGCAATGTTAGGGTTGCATCTACAGGTATATTAACCACCAAGAAAAAAGAATAAAGTAAACAAAGCATCAGCAAAACGTAAACGCAATGTAAAAAAAAACAAAAAAAAAAAAAACAAGGGAAAGTTAGCGATGACTGAGTTCTAATATATGTTAGTGGATCAAAGGCTTACTTGAAAGTTATTTTATAGTTCTTTAATAAAGGGTTATAAGAATATATAAATGCTAGGAATGAACATGAAGAGAAGAAATTACAAGCAAGACGAGGTTAACGAGCAAGATGAAATTAAGGCTCGTACGAGATGATGACAGTAATTAACCAAAGCTTAGTCAAATACTATATAAAGTCAACAAATAAAACTTAATGAGTCCAAATCAGTGGTTCTTAAATTGTGCACCTGGGTGCACTGAAAGATGTTTAGATTCGACCTGGCATTCGAGAGAAATATGTGTCCAGATATAAGTAAATATATTTACTTTATTATTATTATATTGCTGTACCCGTCTGTTTTGGATTTATGTGAATTAGGCCTTTTCTGCTCTCACTAGAATTAAGTTAAAAAAGAGAGGAAATCTTCAATTTATTGACGATGAAATAAGAGTTTGCTTATCAAATATACACCCAGACATTGAAAAAATCTCTAAAACTCACCAGCCTCATGTTTCTCATAAACACAAGAATAAATAAACTTAAGGTATGTTTCATTTTATTTTTTATTGCATTATTTCTTTTCTGCAATATTTGACATCGTTATACGTTTTTATATAGTGGGCCTACAATTATTGGTAGGATTTCAAGTGCGCCTTGACTTAAAAAATGTTTGAGAACGACTGGTATAGATATACTGGGTGTAACAGCAAAATTGTCCAAATCGTGTAATAGCAAAATTGTCCATTTGTTGTGTCTTAGAAATGATTAAATTCCTACTGGAATTCTCCGAGGTTTTTATAACATTCTTGGACTCTACTATTGAGCAATAAGTATGTATAATTACTCTTCGAGCTTAACCAAAGAATCGTGATGAAATCGATCGAAAACAAAAATGATATTAATCAATCATAGCTAAGAATGGGAAGCTCATGAAGAATTTAAATAAATTTCAAATATATATATATATATATATATATATATATATATATATATTATTCCAGGATCATTTTACAACATATTCAATACTAGCAGTAGAGCCCGGCGTTGCCCGGGGATGTAACAGTAAGAGATAGATCAAGTATCGACCATCATAAAGACTGAAAAATAAAATTGACAAAAATTATTGTTTAAGTTTGACATGTCTTAATTAGTTTTTTTTTTTAAGAATTGGTCAAACCCAAACTGAAACAAAAACATTGTTTTCAATCGTTATGAGTCTACCGATTGAATAGAATTTTATTATAAACAATTGTCTTGTAAATGGAATTTTTAAAGCATTCTGAATGTAAAAATAAAGAAAAAAGTATGCAAGACAATAAGAAACATTACCTGCCAAAAAAAGTGAAATTTTGTTGAAATCGGTTGAAAAATGTAGGAAATCCGATCCCATATATAAACGAAGACACACACACAAACAACCTGGGTTTTATAATAAGTATAACTCGATATGAGTTGTCCCCCTTTCATTCTGGCGATTTCTGTTAATCGTGTTTTCAAATTGATTTCGTGCAAAAACTATTGTGTTTTTTTTTTATTTTTGGTGCTGTCAGAACCACCGCAAGTTAATCCTACGTAGTCCTGTGAAGTTTTGTTGAAATCGGTTGAAAATGTAGGAAATCCGATCCAATATATAAACGAACACACACACACACACACACACACACACACACACACACACACACACACACACACACACACAACCTGGGTTTTATAATAAGTATGATAATCTTCGCCCTTTCTAACCTTGTAACTTTCTGTCCTGGAGTAATAAGTTGCCTGACACCTTTCACGTACGATTTAATTTTCAAGTCTTATTTCATTGCTCTTTGCACTGTCATAGCTAAAATGACCACATTTTAAAGGGGATTTGGGTGATCTGAAGGTCTTCATATATACGGTACACATTTTCGGTCAAAGAATTCTTTCAAAACACTAAACCAAACAATATCTTTAAAGGAAATCTAACTTTATATCAAAATGTTATAACTCACCCAGAACTACGTAAAATCTTTAATACATTTTGAAACCTGAAATAAAAGAAAAGACCACTTTACACTTCATAAATATATCTACTAAAAGTAACAATGTAAACTCTAATCACCAATTTGTATCAGAAACCGAAAAGAAAATGATTTGTATTAGAAACTAACACATATCTGATAACTGATTGTGTAACACCTATCCTGACCCCACTGGATCAATGTACTCTACAAGACCGGCCGTTGGTATTGTCCTGGTCCAGTATTACAGGTTCAATCAAAGTCTCCGGTTCACAATGTCGATTCGTTTCCTCTTTCCAGCCATGTTGTGATGTTTTGATCCTGGAGAACAATTAACAAATCGTAGATCGCAGAAGATTTAGCCGATCTACCTGCAAGTTTATTGGGGCGAGAATCAGAAAAAACAAATATGATCAAGTCGATTCGAGTCCAAAGAAAAAAAATTATGTATATATATATGAGGAAGAAATTGGTACAAAAAGAATAATGCTTAGATGTGGCACAAAGCCAAAAGTATGGAGCACCCAGTGAGGATCAAATTCACCATTCAGTCGTAACTGATCCAGCGAGAAACGTTTGTTCATCATCACACCATTTCGAAGTCACTTAATGATGTTTTAAGCATACATTAGATGTACGACAAGGCCGAAAGTATGAGGCACCTAGTGGGGATCGAACTCACTAATCTTTCGTAAGAAAGTAGTGTATATGAAATAAAGTCCAGAAAAAAAACAAAACAAATATTGCAAATGATTTCTGAAATGAGAGAAGTAGTTTTTGGGTTCACCATTTTTGTTCTTAGTAGAGGCCGTAATTATTTCACTATCAGAATATAAAGGAGTTTACTGGCACTATTGTGCCAATATTGCAAATAACTTAAGTTCACTTCCTCCCTTGTTACACTTTCACTTTCACTGTCTATTTCTCTCTCTCTCTCTTTCTCTCTCTCTCTTTCTCTCTCTCTCTCTCTCTCTCTCTCTCTCTCTCATTGCTTGTCAACTCATTTCACCCAACTCCTATTCTAACCTCCACTTCGACTTCGACTGCTTGTTTTTGCACAAACACGTGCTAAAATAAACGCAGTAGTAGCGACAAAAAACCGAGGTGTTGGTAAGCTTAGAATACAACCTCATTACTGACCTCTCCCCCTTCATGATTAAATGAACAGTCTCTTCTTCTCAATTGGTATTCCATAGTTCATATAAACACTATTTTTTTGACATTTTATATTAATAATTCTGACGAAGCACAGATTCTCTGGGCCAAATTCACCACAGATCATTTTTCTTATCTATAGAGAAAACTCTATATTACTATAATTATTATTGTTTCAAGGGTGACCATTGCTCTCTATCTTATTTGAAAAAAAACAAACTTTTCACCAAATAACCTCTACCTAAAACTATCACTGGTCGACATATGACATCAAGCTATAACCTAAAGTACCACGATTCAAGAGCTTAATTTTTCTTAACGCTATAGTGGTTGAAACAAAGAAAAGAGTATTGATATCTGTCTTTCTGTATGGCAGCGAATGCTGGACAATCTCCTCAAACATGAAGAAAAAACTTGAATCAACAGAAATGTGGTTCTACAGAAAGATGCTGAGGATACCATGGACCGAACATGTGAGCAACGTCGAGGTTTTAGAGGAAATGGAAATAAAAAATTATACTTAATATCAGGAAGAGTCAGTTGAAATTTTTTAGGCACGTAATGAGGAATGGAAAACCTGATACTCACAGGAAAGATTGAGGGAAAGAAAGACAAAGGAAGACAGTGCATAACATATTTGATGAGCTTGATCAAATTGATAGTAGAACAGAGTTTGGGAGAAATAACAAAAACACTTGTTAAGTGCAATAAGGGAGAGCAAGATGTAGAGGGAATCATCGCTTACGTCCTGAAGGGACACGGTATATAAAAGAAGATAATGGTTGATGGGCTGTCAAGTAGAAACAAAACCAAGCCTCTCTGAGCTACTATCGTTAGCACACAAAGTCATATTTCTGCCACATATTAGCGACACACACTCGCGGAGACACTGATCCATATCACATGTCGTTCAACTAACATGCAACAGTTTTTACGGATGACTCATACCCTTCACACCGATAGTGCTTGTTCATACTTACACTCTAGAAGCTTTTTGCGTATGGTGATTTTCTAAGCGTAGCTTAGATGTGTCACAAAACCGAATGTATGGATCAACCAGTGAGGATCAAATTCACCATTCAGTCGTAACTGATCCAGCGGATATGTGGGGAAGATAACGGCTAACCGTAGATATGAACAGGATAAGTTTGTAGAGATCAGAAAAACGGTGGTAGGTGGGGGAAGCTGCTCGAGTGGAACTTACTTCTCACCAATGAAATACGAAAGGAAAGAGGATGGTTAACTACAATGTGCGTTGCATGGCGAGTCTTAGCCATGAAAGTTAGAAGTGTTCGAACTAAGGAATATAGTTCGTTTTAGCACTTCCCATGGAAATAGCGATAGAGCAACGAGAGATTTGCGAAATTTCGTCTGTGAGAGAGAGGCTGTAGGGTGGAAAATAATTTGTTACCCACAAGGACGCGGAAAAACTTTTGGACACACAAGAGACTGGAAAATGAGGATTGGGCATCTCCTTTCCTAATAAGGCAACCATATCCCATTTAAACCTGATCTGACTCTTAGATAGAGCATAGCACGAGCAGTCAGGCACTTACTGAAGGAGTAAAAGGAATCCACCATTTTCCCAGCATTATTATATTATGATGGATCGTATATACGAGTTCCACTTGAGGTCTGGGTTGTGTTTAAATCCCAATAGTAACTCAAGGTACGGGGCCTCTCTGAGGGAACATCCGTTTATCGCTATTGGCGAGAGCTCTGGGTCGTATCATTAATAAAGAATTGACTAGAATTTCTTTACACTATTTATATTCCGACTATTGTCTTTAACTTTGTTGTTGTTATAACATTTCGACCTTCTTCAGGTGTATATTGATCTGGGTAACCCACAGGGAATTCTGAACTGAGCCCTTTATTCAATCTACAGTTGTAGACTGTTTTATATATATATATATATATATATATATATATATATATATATATATATATATATATGTGTGTGTGTGTGTGTGTGTGTGTGTGTGTGTGTGTGTGTGTGGTATAAAGGCCGACACTACGGAATACCTAGTGGGGATCGAATTCACTAATCAGTCGTATTTCCTCTAGGGAGACAACCTCAGAAAATCATTTTCGGAGTAATGTAATGGTTAACAACCTTGTCTTCAGAGACCAGTTACGACTGAGTAGTGAGTTCGATCCTCGCTAGGTGCTCCTTATTTTCGGTGTTGTGCTACATAACAATTACCCCTAACCCAAATTACCATGTCTCCAAATATATATATATATATATGTGTGTGTGTGTGAGTAAGTGTGTAATATATATATATATATATATATATATATATATATATGTGTGTGTGTGTGTGTGTGTGAATTGGGATCAAATATGAATTGGAATCTGATAGAATGATGAGATAAAGAACAGATCGGAAATGTTTATCAATCTAACATGTTTCAGTTTTATTAAATCTTCATCAGTGAATGACATAAACAGAAAAAGTAATTCTATTATTTTTAACTTTGTGCTGTTTGATTTTCATTGGTCAATCATACTGAACTCTTTAAACCAACGTTAGTATAATTTGTGTCGTTCCGAATTACACATAGACAAACTAAAATTATTATACACATACATACAGCAATATTTACGATCTCTCTTTTAGGCTCGGAATTCGTTAATTTCTTGAAACTTTGGATGGACGCCTCAGCTCTTCTTGAATTCGGAACGCCACAAATTACACTAACGTTGGTTTAAAAAAGTCCAGTGAAACATGATTGACCAACGTTTGAACAATGAAAATCAAACTACAACACAAAAGTAAACAGACCAGAATAACTTTTCTCCATCTCATATTCTCTGAATAGGCTTTAATAAAAGTGAAAAATGTCAGATTGATAAGCGTTTCCTATTTGTTCTATATATATAGATATATCTCTACCCTTTGTTTATTATATATGTGTAATGTCCCTACAAGTGCAAAGAAGAGAAAAAATAAAATCTGAGCTCAGGAAATCTTAGCCCTGATTGGACAAACAAATATTTTTCATTCATTACCATAACAATATCAGCTGCATTTAAGCACTAGTACATCTGTTCCTAAAAAATACAATGAGAGGTGACATTCGGAAACCAAACAACAAATTTACGCTCAACTGAAATCACAGGAAAAAAAATATAGGTAGATTGGCGAAAAGTTATAACAAGGAAGAAAGGTTTTGTCAAATTCACCAATTCATAACATTCAACAGTAAATAAACTAAAATTTGAAATATCCTGTGAAATTGTTTCCGCCTGAAAATGATTCTGGAAGGGTCTATTATCATGAGATGCAGTCGAACTGATGAATATTTGGAGAGGAAATGGAATATTCCAGAATGCCATTTTCTCACAGATTGTAATACAGTTTACTTCAAACTTGACAAACCAATTAAACCCTAAGGACGAGAGAATTATGCTTTTATTCGCTAATGATGTATGAAAACTCTGATCACCAAGAAACAGGTAATCTTTTTCTTCTAGGAGTGGATAAATTATAGATATGTGTGAATAATTACTTGGTCTGCAATCTTTAACTGCTCATGCAAGTGGCCAACATATTTATAATGAAATAGGAAAATGTGTTAATATAAAATTGGAAAATTACTTCACGAATGTAGTGTCTGTTCGCACTAATGGTGTTAGATCTATTACACAAGAATTCCTTTCTTTCTTTCTTCTTCTTCTTCTCCTTTTTCTTCTTCTTTTTCTCCTTTTTCTTATTTCTTCTTCTTCTTTTTTCTTGTTCTTCTTGTTCTTGTTCTTTTTCTTCTCCTTTCTTCTTTTTTTTCTTCTTCCTCTTCTTCTTTTTCTTCTTCTTCTTTTTCTTTTTCGTCTTCTTCTTCTTCTTCTTCTTTTTCTTCTCCTTTTCTTCTTCTTCTTGTTCTTGTTCTTCTCCTTCTTCTTCTTCTTCTTCTTCTTCTTCTTCTGTGCGTAGTACTCCTTCAATTTCCTGTCATTTGAAGGCCTTAGATAATTTATTCTTTTTACTATATCTCCTAAACTCAACTTATGAAGTATGTTAGGCGCTTCTTTCCTCTGTCCATCTTGCTTTCAATATATCCTGTGAGTGTCAAAATTTCCAAACACTCTTTCCTCATTATGTATGCTAGGATCATCAACTGTCTCTTTTTGATTCTAAATATAAGAGTCCTTTTTGTTTTCATTTTCTCTAAAACATTATCATTACTCACATGTTCTGTCTATGGTATTCTCATTAGTCTTCTGTAGAACCAGGTTTCTGTTGCCTTCAGCTGTGGTGAGATTGTCCAGTATTCACTGCTCTAATGGAGGTCTGATATTGCATAATAATTTCAGTTCTTTTTTCTTTGTTTTTAGCGAAATTGTCTCTTATTATTTTGTTAAGGCATGTTTCGTTACTTCAATGCGCCTTTGGAATTTAGTGTAGTACTTTCCGTCTTCTGTTAAAACACTTCCCAGATATTTAAAGTTTTGTTATTTGCTTGATTTTGCTATCTATTTTGCAATTTGCCTGTTGGTCGAATTCCTTAGGTGAACAATATTTACTCATCATGGCATCCTACATTAGCAAGTTTTGGTAAAGAAAAATTACAAAATCCTGTAATGTTATGTCTGCTATAGTTTGTATTATAAACTTATACTTAACAATCCTAAATAAATATATACGAGGCCCAAGAGCCATTTGCTGTAGAGCGTTACTGAATAAGAAGAAAAGACATAGCTTATGTGAGGAAGAAAACGGTTAACCCTATACTTGAACAGATTAAGATTATGGTGATCGAGGAATCATAGTCTTGGGAGTCAGTTCCACAAAGTAGTGGTTCTTGGGAAGAAACAGTTGGAGTAAAGCTTACATTTCACCAATTGAATAGGAAGTGAATAATTTCATCTGTGGGAAAAGGGTTTTAGGATGGAAAGTAATTCATTATCTACAAGACTTTTGAACTCTTTTGAGACCGGAAAGTGAAAATCGAACAGTTCCTGACCATATATAGCAGTAGCTTTGGCTTAAGCTGGCTCTTTTAAAGGTAGAAAAAAAAGCAGGAGTAACCAAGTACTTATTGGAGTGGTACAGAGAATCGACCATTTTACTAGCATCTTTAGTGATGGATCCTATGTACACGTTTCATTTGAGGTCTGGGGTGATTTTAATGTCCAATAGGCGCTCAAGACACGAGGGGTCATTCAAAGAACACAAGAGTACGACAGTCGAAAACTCATGGACCGTTAGGTGATGATAGAATGTCACTAGTTTTTTTTTTTTTTTTTTTTTTTTTCAGCATTGAATATGAGCCATCAGTTTTCCCCTACTGAGCTGTCAGAGCTCGGTCATATGAGAAATCAGCTGCCACATACTTAAAAACTAGGTACAGTGTGCGGTATTTTAATGTCTGACCAAGATAACTGCTATTTAGTTCACTGTTGTTTAAACAAAAGGCTACAGTCTTTATTTCGTTTCTAAAGTGACACTCTTCAAATGGTGGTCCCTATTCGCCTTACACTGTTGTAGACGATTTCTAAAGTTTTCCATAAGTGGGAAGTTTGAGCGCTCGAGATCTCCCAGATAGCTTTCTTTTAACATGCAATCCATAGCAGTATCGATTTTCTACCAGGACAACATCATTCCAACGTAACATGAAATTAGCAGAAAAAGCTCTTTGTGTTGCATTTACAAATTCACTTTAAAAAAAATCGTTTCAAAGACAAACTCACGGTGTTCACTGGTCCAAGCCATGAAGGTAACTGATGGTATCTGAAAAAAAATTATAAAACATTAGCTTGATGAAGAAAACTTTGCCATTTGCTTAAGTTCACTAGCATTACACAGCTGACAGGTTAAATGTAGGAGGTATACCTGTCGCACCCTGTATAAATATACCGTGGCCTAAGAAAAGATTTTAGCCAGGAGAAATAAACTACACACAATTTCAAAATTTAATTACATAATCCCGACTCAACATAAATATACAGAATTTAGAACTAGTATAGAGTAGGTCATCCATTTGCTAGTTTCAGTGCTTGTATTCGATTTATCATGGATTTGATCAAGTTATTAACAATCGTATGATCCATATTTTGCCACTCCTTTAGCAATATTTCTTTAAGGGTTGCCACTGACGTGATTTTGGTTGCATGCTCTCGAAGTTTTCGGTCAACGTGCTTCCAAACGTGCTCTATTTGATTCATGTCAGGACTTTAGGCGACCCATGGCAGTGACGCGATTCCTTCCATGCCTTTGCTACTTTGCTCCTTGAAAAAGGTAAACATTCTTGTTAATCTGATTGGTTTCAAATAGTGGGAGTAGGCCTTTCTCTAATATTTGACAATATTTTGGACCATTAAACCAAACGTCAAAAAGAAAATCAGCTCAGATTTCCCTCTAAATCAAGACAGCGCCCCACACCATTACTCCGATCTCACCATGTTTCACGGTCACCTGCAGACATTCAGTGTTCCAAGTCAGATTCTGATTTCCCCGAACATAAACCTGTCTCGAATTCGAATATTGGCAGAAAATAATTTCATCTGATCAAATTACAGATTGAAAATATTCATGAACTTTGCTCTCAAATTCTCTCGCTCAGTCCATACGCCCTTCCTGTTAACCCCTGAAATCAAGGGCTTCTTTCTTGCAACTCTTCTTTGATAGACTAGCGTCTTTCTCACCGCATATGGCGATATTTCCATGCTACTGGCGACATCTTTGACGCTCTGACAACGGTTTCTAAAGACTTCCCTCTTCAGCGCCCTTTTCGTTCGCTCAGACACGATGCTTGGTCTTTCTTAATGTCATTCCAAACGACAATGGGATTCTTCATTAAATTTCTTGACAATATTATTAATCATTTGGTGATTAACCTGGAAAAACCTATCAATTTCTCTATTTGACTTGCCACACTGATACCATCCTATTGCCCTCGTTGAAATAGCTAAACCTAGTTCATGCCCAATAACTATTGCTCTAACTACAGATATAAACTATATATTATGTACACAATAACACTACCTAAATTATTATATATAAAATATACTTAAGTAAATCAAGCTGAAAATACCTAACTCTTGATTTATGAAATATATCCAAATAGCTAACTCTTGATCCAATCCAAGTTATAAGTTATAGCTAAATTCTAACCCTAGTTTTAACCCTTCATGTAAAATATGACGAGTAGGTACACTGGGTCAAACGCCAGATATAGGGTTTACCTAACAGCTTAACAAGTTTAATCCCTATGTATAAAATATACATAATAGCTAACCCCAGTTCTATTCTTAGTTAAACAGGTATCCCCAGCTCAAACCTAAGATATAAGTTAAACATAATAGCTACCCCTAGTTCTCATTATAGGTAGAAAACGTACGTAATGGCTTATCCTAAATATAATTGAAACCAAAGTTATAAAATATGAATTATAGCTACATCATTGATTGGTTATCAACACTTTGCAGGTTTTTAAAGCCCAAAATTAATTTTAGACTGTAAGAATTATTTTCCTTGTTTTAGATAATAATTGTTTGATGGCACAAATTTTAATAATTAGTCTATAGCTATGGAGAGAAGGGTGGATTCATATCTTTGCCAAGTTTATTATTGCGTAAGTGAATATAGTGAATCCAAATGGAATTGGAACGCAGCTCTCCGATTAACAATTTCAAGTCCTTATCCGTTACACCACCCGCACATCCAAGCTTAAATCACTTGGTATTCCCAAGCTGACCAGATACTGCCCAGGTTTGATATTGTTTAACTTCGCCGATCGTACGGTGTTGCGTCTGTAAGCTTTGACCGCAGAGTTCATTTATATATATATATATATATATATATATATATATATATATATATATATATATATATATATATATAAAGTTAATTGGTAACCCATATGGATAATTCCAGGAGGATATAAATCCCTAGAACTTAATGTAATAAACAAAGCAAGTAATAATTAATTAACAAATCGGAACTTCAGAAAGCCATGGTAATATTTCATTTCGCGAGACCGATAAAATTCGATTTCGCTTCGGCAGACCTTGCTGTTTCAAAACAATCAATTCATTGTTTCAAACCGCAAGGTCTGATAAAGCAAAATCGAATTTTATCGGTCTCGTGAAATAAAATATTACTATGGCTTTCTGAAGTCTCCGATTTGTTAATTAAGTAATAAATAATTATATATTTATATATATATATATATATATATATATATATATATATATATATATATATAAAAAGGGTGGAAATGATATATATATTTTGATATATCAAGAACTATTTTAAATTATTCGAATGAAGTCCTTAAGGACGAAACACATTTCACGAGTTTTTCTTCTTTTTTTTTTTACATTTTATCATAAATGTTCCTAATAAATATATACAGTTTGAATATCCGAAATTCTAACTTGACATGACTTACTACAAATAAAAAAAATTCTTCTCACACTCACTGTGATGGCACTCCCCCCACACCCAGCTTCTCACTCCTGCTGTAGAAGGAGTGTTTGGTGGTGTATTTATATATATAATTGTGTAAATAATGAGAATCCGATTTGCACACGTACAAAAATAAAAAAAAAAACATTATTTTTATGAGAAATCCTAATTTCACCACTTAAAAATCCGTGTGACGATTACCTGATTCGCGTCATTACCTGTATCGAAATTTCTGAGATGAGATGTTATCTCCCTTCCACTCAACTCTCCAATTTTTTTGTTCACCACTGCAGCAGCCAGGTATTGAACTTAAAATACTTTGGTCAAGTCACTGGATCCAACCAATGCTTTTATCCACTGGGACATGTGTGCTTGAGGGAGATATGAGACATCCGGAAGAGGCATGGCACGTAGAAATAGAACAAACTACTCCGGTGGACGGAATAAAGGGTTCAGGGAAAATTCCAATTACCTGAAGAAGTCCGGATGTGTATGCACCCACAATTTAATAAATTTCATAGAAA